AGCTTGTTGTCCGCCACTCGGGGGGCCGAGATCGGGCCCTTCGGGTCGTCGATCTGCTCTGGCCGCAAGATCACCATGACGGGATCTTGACGCAAGAAGTCTCGCAGTTCCTTCAAGTGATACTGACGATCCAGGTCAGCCTCGGACCAGTCGAGCGCCGACGGTCTGGGATTTTCGTCGTCCAGGCCTGGCGCTCTCAGCTTCTTCCTCACAATCTGGTCCTTGTCCGCGATCGCGTCCAGGTAGTCCGGATCGAGCCTGATCGGCGAGTCGGCGAACGCGTATCGGTCTGATCCCGCCTTAGTTTGTTTTGTTAGTGAATCTCGGTTCGCACCAAGATCCACCGGGGTCCCCGAAGGGACCTGTGGAGGATGTTGAGGTTTGTCTTCTAGATCTGTCTCCAGATCGCCCTCGATTCCGTCGACAGAAGTCCTCCGAGCACTCTGTCGATCCGCGGATCTCGTTTTGTTCAGCAGCGTCTTCGTTGATCCGATATCCGACGACGCCTCTTCCCCTGGTTCTTTCTTCACTTGCGCATCTTCTACGGACTCACGGTGAAATCCCTGGTTCGAATCCGGGCACGCGCACCATTGTGGTGTAGCGGGATCGGCCAAAATCTGGTTAAGGCCTGATCGAGCTTCCCACCAGCGCCCAGACACCGACTAACGGAGGGGGGTCCCCCAACGATCCGTGATCGGCTGAACTTGTTCTCACCTTGTGTACCCGTCGGCGGGCTGGATATGCTCTCTCGGGACTCCGAAGATGCAGAACTTGGTGAAGATCGAGTGTCTTGGCGTGACGCGGGGATAGTTTGTGGGGCAGCGCGGTAGTCTTCGCTCTGCGTCCGAGTATACGCTCCGATCGAGGGTTGTTCGCTCCGATCGGTCGGCCTGGAGTTGATCCAAGGCCTGTAGTCGCTTTTCCGGGTGTGTTCCTTCCTTTCCTGAGTTGCTTGCCGCTTCCTATAGCGGGATCGAGGTTGATCGAGAGGAGAAACGATCGCCGGTCAAGCACTAATATCCGGTCGATCGAGGACTTGCACACAAGAGATAGATCACTAGAGTAGGTCAAGCTGGCCAATGAATTAATCCAGTCTTAACCGTACCGCTAGTTCACTACCCAAAGTGTCGACCCTGCCGAGGCCAATGTAGTTCCTGGGACTTGGTGACTTGAGGGGACTTGTGCTCTTCGGTGCAATTTCTGCTCGAGAGCGACTTGCCGGGGCTTGGTGGTCTTGGATCACGCGTGGGGTCAAATCTGTTCTCCACAACGCAAGTCGATCGAGGCCAATATGCTCTTCCTCCTCGAGATTCCAGACCACTTGCGCTCCACGGTGCAAATTCGACTCTGATTTATGTTTAGCTGGTCTCTCCCTAATGCTACCATCTTGCTTACCCTCCTACAACCACACGATTACTGGATTCTTGCCCCGACTTCGTCCTTCATGTGCGTCCCATCCTGGTCGATCCACGATCGGCCCCGATCGGCGATCGACTCCGATCGGCCCTGATCGGCGATCGACGATCGACTCCCGTCGGCCCTGATCGGCGATCGACCCCGATCGGCGACCCACGATCGGCTCCCGATCCACGATCGACCTCGATCGGCGATCGGCGATCCACTCCCGATCGATGACTTATGCCGGTTGCCATGCGCCGCCGATCTATCACCTTCTGTCCTCGGCCATCTCAGATCCGCGGGTTCTGTCGTCGATCTGGACTTGGGTCAGCCACGAATCACGCCGCGGTTCGGGCACGATCACCCACAATCCGGCTTGCCACATGTCCTGCCTTACGCGCCGGCGTCATCGGACCACCTGAGGTCTCCCGAAGAACTCCTTCTGATCCGTAGATCCTTGCTGCCAGTCTCTCGATCGCCGATCTCCCACGCCTCCAGTCGATCGGCCCAGCCGCCTTTCTCGGAGAACAATTCTTATTCAGCACTTCTCCACACCTACCCAAGACAAGCCCATGCCGAGACTTGCAGGCATGCACCAAAAGGTATGGGTCTGTGAGCGTCTAATACACGAGCGGCGCTATGGTCACATTACTGGTTATGATAATGCGCGGTCCACCTCCCGCTAATTTTCAGAAATTTGCATTAGGTTGAAGCGCTAAAATGTGGTGCTCATGTTGCACTTTCAAACGTAAAACCACGCGTGACACCCAATCGAGGCGCGAACGCGTTCGCGCGCGAGAATCGACCTACCACGCACGAAATCCGCAAAGCAATTTGATTGGCCGAAACCAAGTCGGCGGGATCTCGAAAGGTCGCCACGGTCGTATGGCTTGAAACGGCACTTTCCCCCGAGGTTTTTCTTATCCCTGCAAAATCGGGATAACGGTCGCCGGTGGGTTAAGCTGTCCAGAATCAGTAGTTTGCATCCGTCGACTGACGGCTTCCAAACCTATAGTGAAACCAAGTCAAATTAGTAAATGTCAACACACGTAGCATACCAAAACACGTACCCTTTCGATCCAGTCCAGCATGACCGTACGCGTTCGTCTGCACGGTATGCTCGACGGACGCCGCTCCAAAAGCAGGGTTGAACACCTCTTGGGATACGGGTCCGCCGGGCACACCTGCAAAAACAACAAACGGAGGCAGCTCCTCGCCCGTGGCCGACGCAGCAAGGAACACGGACACTCGGAAGCCGTTTATCGCGCTTCCTACCGGTACGTTCAAAATGTTAGCAAAGCGTCATAACGTACTGAAAATGACATCCTTACCTTGCACGACGTCGACCGTTTGAGCGCCCACAAAGTCAACCGTCCGGTGGAGTGAAGCGCTGCGGCTACGGCTTCTGTGAAGCCACAATACGAACGTAATTATGCCATACGAGTACACCTCTCTCAACTTCGTGCTCAACGTTGCCTTATCTCTTCGATGAGTTCGTCCACTGTGTCTGCTCACTAAGTACGGCCCAACACCACTAAGTTCGTTTCCATCCACTGTCCAACAAATTCGTACTACATATGAAGTTGCATACTAAGTATTTCTATATAATGAAGCATTGCCTAGTCCTCTTCACTTTGAAGGAGTCGTATTAGAAGTTACTTGTCTCTGTTACGCTAAACTTTCCTGAGCTTATCTTAAAAAATATTCACTCAGATCACCAGACATTTGTTGAGGGGTTCTGTGGTACTATTGGCTCAATGTTCTCTGAAATTTATTTCAGAGTTAAGGGACGATTGGAATCATTCACTGACCTGATTAATGGCTTAGCGCATTCCTGACCAAGTCGATCCATCAACTTTCATCGATAAACGAGGTTTGTTTTTTACAAATATCATGCCAAACTGCAGTACAGTGGAGTAAAAGAATACACATACCCCGCGTAAGGTGATATTTTAGGTGAATGTTACCTGTGGCGGCAGGTTGTGTGGAGCCCCCCCAAATAGCTACATTCGAGCGAGCTAAGTCGAAAATTTGCGTTTGCCGATCAGAATTTAACGATAGAAAAAATAGATTACCGAGGTGGCTGCCTCTACTGTACAGTAATGTGCGTCAATAGGGACCTCTGATATGAATAGGAGTGTAAAGGCTATTAAGGCGAACAAGTGGAAAAAGAAATAACAATGTATTGATTTAGTCAAGAATAAATGACACACTGCTTTTACTAATGAGCGTGGAGTGCAACCAGCACTTCTGCATCGTAGAAGCTGACACATTATCCCACGCAGACTCGCACCACTTCATGGCAGTTAGTAAGTCGACTGTATGTCTAGGGATGCCCAACTTCTTGGCTAGCACCGTAGCATAGAAGACGATCATTGCACCGCTGAGGCAAATGCCCTCCGCCTCTGCAAGCATGATGAACTCGACGATGTTTTGATCGATCTGTAGCTGGAATGGAGACGGCTTGTTCTTGAGCTGAGCACTTTCGTGAGGCTGGCGCAACAGCGCGATACGCCCCGAGATGATGCGGCCGATGGTGGCTTTCCCAGGGGGCCTTTGCGGACCGAACTCGACTTTGGCCCAAAGGGCCAGGTCTTCATACTTGACAGCGGGGGAGCTCTCAGCCTTCTTGATCAGAAGCAGCTTCTGCTGCTGGGTGAGGCGAGTTCTAGTCTTGGAGGAGGAGCTCATGAGGTGGGTGGATGGGTAGGGCGCTGGTGTTGTGGCAGATTCCGTTGTGCTTGGAGGAGGGAAGGAGTTATGTTCGCGCCCGAATTCAAATGGTAACTTCAATCACTGATTGGCTAGATCTGACCTCACTAGCCAATCACGTAGTCGCGCTCGTTGCGAAACCAGCCAATAGCGCCAGGATCCTGTCGAAAGTTAACTTAAATCAATGTTAGTTGTGTTCTTGACTGACAGCTGTATATAATGTATGTAAGGATATTAGTCGCACATTACTGTAA